ATAAGATTTATTATTGAACTTTGAACAATTGTTTTACGACACGAATATGTACACGAGTTTATCTCCATCCTCATTGGAGAACTTTATACTTTGGATTGGAGAATTTTTATTTTAATATCTTAAAATATATCTGTAATATCTATTAAAAGAACTGTATTATTCGAATATTTAATCTTAAAAATCAATATTGAAAATATTTACTTTTATTGCTTATTGTATATTTCTCTGTAAAATTTTGTCTTTCTAGAAATATCCGGCATTAATTTGTCAAAGAATAATGACCATCTAAAAATAATAATAAAGCAAAAAATTGCGACTTGCCAGAATGTAAGGTTGCTTATCGCAATATGAAATCGTTCTGAAGAGTAACGATAAACGTCGCTAACAACGGTACAAAATACGGTGGCGGCTATCGGGAATCGCGGCGCATCAGCCTCGTGGTGAGTCTTTTAACGAGGAGAAACCACGGATCGATGCGGTTAATCCAGCGCGGTGAAGACGGTATCGTCTGATTGCGACTACGACGTCACGCGGGCTGCTAAGGTACGAGCCAAGACGAGCGAGCGGGCAACTCGGACTCGGATAGATGGCTACGGTGGTTGGTAACGGTACCAAATCTGCATACACCGTACCGTATACACGTTTACGCCGCGCGCACAGTCGGCGCTATCGGGGAACCGCATCATGCTAATTCGCATCCTCCGCCGGCCGTCGAGATTCTCTCGCGCGGATCGTCCCTCGTCGGGATCACGGGCGTCCCGGTTTCGCGAACCCAGGTCGATACGCGGCTACTCCCATCTGTCCGGTTTTCTCCTTGAAATATGACGTTCCCGCGCGTTTCGCTTCGGTCCGTGAATTTCCGGACGTATGAAGAATGAGCATTAGGTATCGACAAAATGATAAATTAGTAAGGTGTAAAACGTGATATCTGATTAATCAAATGTTTCGATCAAAAATCCTGTTCGCGAAGACAAAGATTCATTTGACTCATTTTAAATAAACTATTATTGTTTTTCTTATATATTCTCGCATTGATATTTCTTTTTTAGATAAAAAAAAGCAAGATTGCTCATTTTTATTTTCAACGTGCAATTCGTCCCTCATCGTTGCTTTTTCGTTCCCGTGAAAGATCGTCCATGGTTCTGCAAATGCGTCGCGATTACGGGGACGATTTGGAGAAGGCGGGTCGAGATGTCGGCGAAAGAAACGAAGAGAAAAAGAAGCGCAGTCGCGAGTCTCTGCCGATGAATCACTCTCGGCGGTATCGGACGATCTGGACAAGCTCACCCGCATGCTCGGAACATGTTTATCTCCGGTTTCGCGTGTCAACTTCGCGTCATTGTACGGGATTTCCCTTTCTTTCTCTTTCTCTCCCTTCCCTTCCCCGCCTCATCGTCAATGCATCGATATCGCGGAAGTGCGGCGCTGTTGTCCGAGGCGTTAAATGGGACCTTCGTCGATCCCTCGTACCTTGGAAGCTGAGAGGGGAGGCGAGACGATGACGATGGACCCTCCCGTCTGGATCCCTCTCGCGAGGAAAGGTGGGAACGAAGAGTGGGACTGGAACGACGGATGGAGAGACCAACGGAAAGAGAAGCAACGAGATGAAGAAGGAAAGAGGAGAGTCCATTCCTTCGTTAGAGCCGCGGGGCGGAGGTTGGAATCCAGGCGCTTCTCAGCAGGGCGCCGTTTCTTCGAGTCTCGGCTCTCTCGAGCAGGAGAATCTCGTGAAAGACTCCTCTTTCTCGCTCCTCATCTTCTTCGTCGTATTCTTCTTCTTCTTCCTCTGCGACCGCTGTTTCTCGCCCATTCTTCGTTTCGCTTTTAACGTGCCACCCTCTCCTGGTCCCGCATCATCGCTAGTCTCTCGCGAGTTGAAGCGAGTATACACACACTCTCTCTCTCTCTCTCTCTCTCTCTCTCTCTCTCTCTCTCTCTCATCTCCTCTTTTGTTCTTTCGCTCATTCGCTCGCTCGCTCTCTTCATCTCGCTCTCGAGTCGCTATCTCTTCCAGAACACGAGCGCTGCATCGCGCCACATCGGTGCATCATACGTACGCCCACGTTTTGTTATGAGTCGCAATAATTTGCCGGGGTACATCCTAGACGGTGTTCTCTTTCGGCTTTAAGTGTAACCCTCGATGCTCTCGCTCTCTCAGTTCCGCGTTCCGAAGATCGAGAGTCCTCCAGAGTGTCGTCGAGGCTGTGCTGTCCTCTTAAAACGTTGAGAGTTCGCGATTATTTTAGTTTGATATTATTGATATTAGTATTAATATTTGAAAAATTGGCACATAGAAAGACATGCAAGTACCAAAAAATAAAAGTAGTACAAGTTCGGAGTTTTAAGTCTATATTTTATAAATGTTCTCATCCAACGAATATGCAATTTTCTATAAACTAATTAATATTAATACTTGGAATCTTTTTCCATGCAAGAAAAAGAATTATCTGGAACACATCTCGCTTATACATCATATACTCCTCATTAATATTTCATTATAAACAATTACTATTACGTGTAATTGAATCCATCTCTAGGAAGAGAGTAAATAAGTTGCGACATTGTTCTAAATTACGCGAAAAACTTCAACCTTGAGACGCATGAGGTTTCCACGTATCCGACGAGCGCGCATTTAAATAATTCACATTATCCGCTTCGATACAATAAGTTGAGCCGCAGATTTGCGAAGGCTCGTCGCGGCAGCTTGTTCCGGTCGCCTCGTTTTCAGCATTGTCACGCGCACGCGTTGCCCCGTCATTTGCCAATTATCGCGAGTGAAAGCACACTCGAGTAACGCGAAGTAATTGCGTTACGCGGACAGACGAGCGCAATCGCGCACGCTCGCGCGGCGGACAATCGCGCAAGAACACGCGCGGTCGTTACTCAACTGAGTAATCGTGTCGTCGTCCACCATCTCCTCCTCTTCCTCCTCCTTCTCCTCCTCTTTGTGCATGTGTATAGTTTGGAAAAAATATGCGGCCCGGTAATAATCGCGGTAATCGCGCCCGGAGAATGCGGCAGAGGCGCGTTTATAAGTACGTAACGGTTCGCAGGACATCTCGCGTGATCGTGCAGGAAAGGCATGGTCGCGATCGCAAAAAATCACCGATCGATAGCCGAAATCACTTTGGAACGGAGAGTCCGCGTTGCAAGGGACGAGTCTTAAGTGAGGTCCGCGAAAGAGAGAATACACATCGTACACAGATAGCGGAAAATAAATGTTACATTGAAATTATTTGAGTATATTTAAGTACTTGTTATATCAAAGATATATCTAATTATATTTAAATTTAATTAAATGTGAATAGAGCGTGTTATAATTTCATAGATAAATATATTTCATAGTTATTTTAAACAAAAACGTTGGCCTAAAAAGATATGTATCATTTTCATTAAAAATACACATGTTGACATGATAACGATGATCATTCCGGACTGCAATATTGAATATTTCTGTCTTGTGAAAGAAGCATAGCACATGTGTAATACAGCGAAATTACAAATTCTCTCAATAACGCACATGTCTCGGCAAAAATAGGGATCCGTCGAAATAGTACATCTAGAATTGCAACGGGCATTAACCTCAATGATACGATGATGATGATGAGGATAATGATGATGATGATGATGATGATGATGATGATGATGATGATGATGATGATGATGATGATAATAATAGCCGGTCGATGAACCGGCACGGCCGCGCGCACAGCTTTCGGCGAAATTCGTACGACCGCGATCGAATCACCGACACCGGCGGCGTCTCTCGTGCGATCGTATTTGCGTGTACTTGAACGCGGCAACGTTATGGCATGTATTTGCCTTTGCACAATATTTGCAGGCACTCGAGAGTATCGCCGCGAGAGACTCGTCCGGGTTCCGGTACAGGTGTCGTGCCTCTTCGTGGTTCATTCCCGTCGCCGGTGACTTCTTGGAAGCCGACGTCGAGCACGACGTCGTAGCGAAGTGGTGTACGCGGGTAAATGAGCGCGTTATGTATCCCCGGCTAAACCTCCGCTGCGAGGCACGAATTGCTCGAACGGTCTCTCTCGGCGGGCTGGACCGTTAGCCACACGGTGGTCGGCACGAGCGAAGTCCGAGCGAAGAGAGGACCCTCCGTTCATTACGTCACGCCTGTCTGATGAGGATGATCGCCCCGGGCAACGTAGAAATTCGCGTTATAGACACGCATGGCGCAACCCGTTCGTCAGATTTTTGATCGCGTCGGCCGAACAAATGAGTAAAATGCCCTTGATATCCGGGATACTCAAGGATATTTAAACGACCGTCGTTGATCTTTTGCACGTAGTCGAGGTTTATAGCATGTTCATTGCTAAATCGAACATCTGATTCTTATCTCCCTATTGATTGTTAATCGTAGGAAGAGCATCGATGTATGATAATCGACATATACTTACAGCGAATGGATATATATCTTTAATTGAAAATGAGCTAGGCACATAGGTTTAAATAGATAATGTTTCAACCAAAGATTGCGTACCGAAAAGTGAAAGAGCCCGTTTCTCTTCTATGCCGGAGTCGCGAACTCGATGACGCGTGACTGCATAGATAAATCTCATTGCGCAACAGACTTATCAAACTCCCCGCGAACGTTGAAATTTTCCTAGAAACCTCCGGGAGATGGATGAAGGTCACATATAAAACTAGGGCGACTTAAAGCGAGATATATAATTACAAATAATTTATGTAAATTATATTTAAAAACTTGTATTTTGCAAGTCTAAAAAGAGGAGAGGAATAAAGATTTTTATGTTTTTCATGCATCTCCTTAAATTTTAATTTAATAAAAGATTTTTGAATTCCGCAAGCTCGATCAACTTTTTGATTTCGCAGTCTCGATCCGTTTTTCGGCAGAGAGATGGATCAAGATTCAAGCCAGACAGATTGTACCGTGTAACGCGAAAGTGAGATCAGTATCTTAGGTAAAGGCGAGTCTTCACATTATCAAGCGTCCCGACGCGCTCACTCCTGTTTTTCAGCTGTGCAGAGAGGGCGAGTGCCGCCGTCGCAACCCTCGTTGCCGGGTTTGCCGGGCCAGTTCGCCTTGACGAACGGGGACGCGGTCGCGTGTGCCAGCCTAAACGGACACTCTTACCTCTCGTCGTACATAAGCCTGCTGCTGAGGGCGGAGCCTTATCCGACCTCGAGATACGGCCAGTGCATGCAACCCAACAACATCATGGGCATCGACAATATCTGCGAGCTCGCGGCACGACTGCTCTTCTCGGCGGTCGAGTGGGCCCGGAACATCCCGTTCTTCCCGGATCTTCAGGTGACGGACCAGGTGGCCCTGCTTAGGCTAGTGTGGAGCGAGCTGTTTGTCCTGAACGCGAGCCAGTGCTCGATGCCTCTTCACGTGGCGCCGCTTCTAGCCGCGGCGGGCCTTCACGCCTCGCCGATGGCGGCGGACCGCGTGGTCGCCTTCATGGATCACATCAGGATCTTCCAGGAGCAGGTGGAGAAACTCAAGGCGCTCCACGTCGACTCCGCGGAGTATAGCTGCCTCAAGGCCATCGTCCTCTTCACCACCGGTGAGTCTGAGATTGTTATTCGACCACTTTGTGGTCAGTTTGACTTCACGTTACATCGCACCTCAACGCTCTCTTTCCCCTTGCCTTGCCGATAAAGGTGATAAATCATAATTCATCATGATTAAAACAAGCTTTTAAGTGTAGCTCCGCTTGAGTTTTGTTAAAAATCTTAATTCTGCTAGAGAAAAAAGTCAAACTTGTGGTGCACAAATGCTATCTCTGAAATATTATCTATCAGACCTCGCGAGTGTGCGATGATAG